TAATGATAAATTGGATTTACAAGACAAAGATATAAACGACGAACAGGAGGGAAGAAAAAAAGGTTTCATTAAAAATGAGAATAGGGAAATAAAAGTGGAAGCAGTTGCGAAATGATCAATGCCACTTTTTTTTTTCTTTTTTTAAAAAAAAAAAAGAAATTTTTGTATTTTTTATAAGTTAATTTAAAACCTTACCTTTTGTTTACGTGTGTGACGTAATGAATACGCGAATTCAAATCTCCGTGTTCTGCTAAACTTGCGTCAGCTGAGTTGCATCTTTTGTTACATTATTCACTTGTGACGTAACCATCCATTTGTTCAGCACTTTCGGTTTAAACAATAAATTAAAAGTAACTCTAAACTGTCTGCTCATGGTGCAATAAATCATAAAATTTGTACTAGAATTAAACAAAGCTAAAAAATCAAGGACGTCGCCGAGGGGATGATAACAACTATTGTAAAAATGATCCCCTAAGCTATAGCTTAGCAAACCTAATATCCCCTGGGGTGATTCCGTTATTAAAAACAATATAAGTACGACCAAAAGCATTTTCGTTGCTCTGTGCGATTGTTTTTCCCTATACGTTTGATTTTTAGATTTTCTCGTTTCCGTATTTATCAGAGCTTTCGAACTTATCAATAACTTTTGACGCTTTTCATTTTTTATCAAAAACAAAACCATTCGAAATGATAAAAATGTTAATAGTATGCAGGGTAGTAATTTTATAACGAAACCGTATATCCAATAATTGACGTCTCTCATCGAAGGACTGTTATTTGCTTCCACGTGATAAATCGTTTCGTTTTTATATTTGGACGTTTTCAACGTGTACACGAGGTAAAGGGGAATGCAAATCAGGGGACATATGACGTAGGTCGACACTATTGCCACGATAGTGCTACGATTCGTACACCACGCTCTGTTTATCTGTGGATGTGCTATGGCTATGTTTCTCCAAACGGCGAGTATAACCGTGAGCCATATTGATATCGTGTGACATACCTGACTGAAATTCGCGTGAAATAATATGAAAACGGCTAAACCGTACGTGTATTTTTTAGATTTGACGTAAAAATAATAACTGAATGGAATGTAATCGACCATGACGAGTAAATCCGCGATCGCTAAACCCGTCAATATTAAATTTGTGTGAGTTTTCATTTCTTTTCTCGTTAAAACGACTATGTTGAGTATGTTTGCAACGGATCCGAATAAACATATTATGAGGGAAAGGTATCCGTGAACCTGAAAAACAAAAAATAACTATTATTATTATTATTATCGTTATGAAATATTTGCGTGTGCAAGACACGACAAAGGAAACGGGGGAGGGGGAGGGGGGGGGAATTTTTTTTTATCTTTGATTTTTTTTTATGTTGTATTTCATCTCATTAAATATCCCTCATTGTAATTTTTTTTTTCTTCTGCTAAAAGGAAATATTTTCTAGAATATTCTCGTTTTACAAATTTTCTTTTTTTTTGTAAACATATATAATAAATAATGACAAAAACATAAAAATGTTTTTTTTTTTTTTTTTTTTGATAAAGGGTTGATAACAACGTAAAGAACGACGTACGCGTCTTTTCGTTCTTTTTTTTTTAATCTAAAAGAAACGTAGAAAAAAGAAAAATTATAATTTACACTTTGACCTTTTGACACTTTTTATTATTTTAACCCAACCCCACATCGCTCCACTTCCTCCTCCTCTCCCCTCCCTCCCTTCTCTTAAATTTTGTGTCTTTTTATATTTTTCCGCTTCGATTGAAAGTAAAAAAAAAAATTTTTTTTTCTTTATTTTTCCTCCTTCCGTTCGACATTCGATATATATAATACAAATACGAAAAGGTTTTAGTTTTTTTGACATTTTTCCGGTTTCCAGTAAGGCGGAATTTCCGGTTTGCAATTTCGATAATTAATTGAAACGTATAAATAATATATAAAAAAGAGAGAGAGAGTAGAAACGTGAGAAAGAAAAAAAAATACGCGCGTTAAAATAAAAAAATAAAAAAACGTTATAAAAATAAAAACTCCGCAAAATAATTACGGAAGCCATTTTTTTTTTTAGTGTCAGACATTTTATTATTATTATTATTATTATTATTATTATTATTATTATTATTTTATTATTTAATCGAGAATCAAATTTTAAAGGGGGGAGGGAGTGGGGAGTGAAGAGGAGGGTGAAAGAAGGGGTGGAAAAAGATAAAAAA